TTGAAATTTTCTGCCATTGGTGGTGTTGCTTGAATAAGAACAGAAAAATAAATGAAGAAAATACACCCTTTATTAAGCCTTTCAGTCAGGGGGAAAAGAAAAAAAAAAGGTTACAAGCACAATTAAAGCTCCTTCAGCTTTAACTCGAACTGCAGAACTACAATTTCAGTTTAAGTACTGATTTAAAATCAAAGCCTAATTCAAAAAAAAGTTGTACATGATCTGTCTTACTCAGAATAGTTTAACACTCTGTCCAGTTGGTTTGCTAATCTGATTTTGAATCTTTAATTAGATATTACGTAAGTATTTCTCCTACAGAAGTAAAAACATTAAAATAAATTTGATCTGTGGCAATTTGGCAACCAACCCCTTTTTCTTTTAAAAGGATCATATTGATATAGATATGTATATTTAGTATCTATATAAACACCTATATGACCCAAACAAAGATATTCTAGAACACAATCTCAATACACCTGGACTTTTAAGAGAAGGTTTTCAAACTCTGTACCCAAAACTGGACCAAAATTGTGTGGCTGCAACCTAATGGCAAAATTCTGGCCACACTGAAGTCAATGGGAAACCTCGTGCTGACTTCAATGGGACTTGGATTTCATCCCTCTCTCTTTTCTAAAAGTAAAGGGGCGAGAGAAAGCAAGATAAGGAGGGGGTGTCAGAAAAACAGCCAGGAGCATGGGTGGTTCAAATCTGGGTTCAACTAAACCGCATTCTCCTTAACTCTTGTTTGTTATGAGGATGGCAGGAAGTGGTGAGCAGGGTTATTTGAAAGGAAATGGTTCTGGTTTAGTTTATCTAGGTACAGATATGGCTCTCATCACTATAGTATCCGAACACTTTTTTATATAAAAATATACTACCCAAATACAGCATTCTTACTTTATACTTACTAGACAGCTTGAAACAGTAATTAAATTGATTTAATTATACTGGCACAAACCCGTAATTTAGAATCACTGTGTGATGCTGGTAGATCAGGTGCCAGCTCATGCCAAGGCCCCTAAGCTTCACTGAACACTGACAAATGCATAGCTGGAAACTAGTCTGGTTCACCTGCATGTTAACACTTTTAAAACAGATGTTCAGTTTATAAACGTGTTTTATATTTGGAATTTATGAAATGCTTGTGAGTTCCTGCATGCATTAATCCCACTTATTATATCTGTATACCATGTTAAAAGAAATATTTAAGTGTTTGCTTTATAACTATAAAAGTGTTTGCTATGAAACTGTAAACATCCCTAATCAGGAGAGAACCATTACCAAGTGTGAAATACTAGTTTAACACATGTCCATCTCCTGCCCAACAGAAGAACTATGGACACCAGGTGAATTGTTGTGGAACATCAGTGACCGAAAGACTGTTGATTGCTTCCCCCACAACCATGAAGAGGGGATGTGCACAAACCCTCGTTCCATTAAAGTTTGAACTCTGGGGGAAGGGAATAAAGATCCCTGACCAGAAGGAACTATATCACCATGTTGCTTAGAATTTGGAGAAGACAATATTTCTAAACGTAAGCCAGGGTTCCCCCCGCAAGCTGCTTAGCTTGAGTTAGCACTAAAGGACATACAGAGCTTGCATGTTACAGCAGCTGCAATTACGTTTTGGAACCTAAGCCAAACTCATTTTTGTGCATATATTCACCTTCTTTAACCTTGTAAATAACTCATTTCCTTTTCTTAGTTAATAAATCTTTAGTTAGTTTATTACTGGATTGGCTACAAGTGTGGTCTCTGGTGATCTGAGGTGCAACTGACCTGGTGTAAGTGACTGATCCTTTGGGACTAGGAGTAACCTGAATATTCTTGTGATTTTTGGTGTAAGAGACCATCTATCACAAAGGCAGGCTTGCCTGGGTGGCAAGATAGACCAGAGTGCCTAAGGGGACTGTCTGTTATAATGCTTCATACTCGATAGCTGGGGAAATCTAATTATAGAACACACAACCAATTTGGGGTTTGTGTCCTGGTTTGTAACAGTCTGCCTTGAGGTCAGCATCCATGTTTATGAACGACTCTAGACAGTTCAGCACACTGAAACCCTTTTCAACAGTGTTTACAGCGGTTTAGTTTAATCTGATATTTTACTGAATTAAACGGAACTGGTAACTCAGTTACATTGCTGAAAAAATTCCAAAATCTTTTTCTCTTTTTATATATCACAGATTCTAGGGTTATGAGCAGCATTCCTTAATAGTCAATAAAATGAATTAAATGCAATTATTTCCACAATCATACATTGTTGCATAGTTTATTTGCACATACACAGAAATTCATACCTCGTAGAAAGAAAAAAAAATAACTGAATTCACATTTGGCAAAACTGTCTTCATAACAAGGGCCCTGATTCTGAGCCAGTTTTATACTGTTAGTGTCTCCAGTAAAATAGGTGCTTCACAGTGTTTTTAAAAATGATCTTCGTGAACTAAATTTATACACTATTTTTACCCACACAAAATGACATTTCCACAGAGCACGAGAAATGTATGAATTGGATGTGAGCTCGTTTTCTCTCTCATGAAAACATTGTAAACATCAGCTGTTTAAGCACGTTTCTCAAAATGGGTGTTACCAGAACAGTGACAAAAACGATAGCGATGGCATTGCAACAGTACATAATTATTTTGTTATAATTAGTAGGACGTAATTTCTACTGTTCTTGAGTGTGAAATATGATGCATTCAAATTGATCAGACATTTATTAAATTACTTCAGAATTCTGGCCAGGCATGCCTCCAAGCGCTGCATGGAAGGAATCCTTCAAAAAGTGGGACAATTCCCACCACAGTTCTTATCAGAAATGAACACTATACATATTCCATCCCATATCATGCATATTTAAGTAGTTGGGCTGTTAAACTAAAAACAATTTCTGCACAGTGACAGTCCAACTGAAAATAATGGGAATGTTATACAAAAATATACGTCAGAACATGACTATTCAGTTTATCTTAGGCCATGTCTACACTTACCGGGGATTGATGCTGCTGCAATTGATGCAGCGGGGGTTGATTTAGCAGGTCTTTCACAAGACTTACTAAATCGACCGCACAGCGCTCTCCAGTCAACTCCGGTACTCCACCGGAACGAGAAGATTAAGGTACTGCCTTCGATGCAGCGCAGTATGGACACCACAGTAAGTTGACCTAAGCTACATTATTCACATAGCTGGAGTAGCGTAACTTAGTTCGACTTACCACAGTAGTGTAGACGAGGCCTCAGATCTACTATATAGTGAAACAAAAGGCGTAAGAAACTCAACTGTGTTAAACATACAGGGATATATACAGCAGAGAATTTTAATTAGATTACATTTCTAGTGCTGTGAAAACAAAGTGCTATGTAAATATTAAGAGGCAAACTGCTTACCAGATAGCACTCATTAAAATATAGAAAAATGTCAGCATTTCACAAAAACTAAAAACATGTTACAGTGAGTACAAGCAAGCTCCTTTTTTCGTAACTTCGTTTTCCTTAACTCTGCTTCCAACATTTACAGTAATGAGGGACTAGAACAGAAATACCATATTCACCCAGCTAAATACAGGTAGCTCTGTAATTTGATCAGCATTCAAAATGTGTGGGCAAGGGCAATGGGAGAGAGAATGATTTATTTAGCCTAAAAATGTTCCCAAATCATTTCTCTCTCTCCCAATGCATCTGCATCTCTCTTACAATGATCAGCATTTTCATTTAGGATACACATACCCTCACCCACCTACAGAAAAAAATACATAGATTATGAGCGGGTGGGGAGGTGGGGGGGGGCGCGGAGGCAGGGAAATCACTGGTTCAAACCCTCTGGGGTTGCTGGTGTGATATGAACAACAGACAATTGAACGAGCACTAAATGGGGCTCACTTCTTTTAAAAAATGTTCAAAGAAAAATTTCTCCTAGTTTTTGAAAAGTGCATTTTTCTTCCTTGGGTTTTGATTTTTCAACACAAACTTGAAAAATATCAATGAAAAACAGAAATGACCATACCAAAAAACCCTGTTTAAACATTTTTTTTCATAAAAAAAGTTCAATGAAAAGTTTTCATCCAGCTCTGTTGTAAGTTGTATTGGCACAAGCTCTATTTTGCACTGTTTCAGTGCAGCTACACTGTGAATTTGTACTGGTATAACTATGTTGCTATAGCTACATTGTGCTAAAGACTCAGTAAACACATGGTCCGTTTTCCCCTCTATTTCCATTTAACTTATTTATAAAGCAGTAAATAAGTTTTAAAGATGATGTTGACATGAGGACAAAAAATGGTATAAAATATTGATATAATTAATGAGGGGAGAGAAACGGTAGCTTTTATCCAGGGACTCTCCCACAATATAGGCAAGCATATGAGCAAGGACAATAGAAGTGTCAGTATTCTGGAAACTGAGGTTATTTCTCCAGATTTTAGGTTCTGCCAAACTTAATTTCCTATAAATGTATTTCTTTTCAAAAGAAACATTTGTAACTCTTCTCCTTGTAAAAAGAAAATAAATTGGTTAGTCTCTAAGGTGCCACTAGTACTCCTTTTCTTTTTGCGAATACAGACTAACACGGCTGCTACTCTGAAATCTTCTCCTTGTGAAGATAACCCTCATACTATAAATCAATGCACTGCTGTCTTGTCTGCAATACTCTGCACCTAGACTGAAATAATATAGCTCCAACAGAGGTATGAATTGCTTCCATTCCCCGTAATGGAGTATTAACTTCACAAACTGGTATTAGCCTTTTAAAAGCTTAGCTATTTGGCTGTACCCAGCCATGTTAAAAGTGTCATGTTTACCTAGATTACAGTGTAAAGTTGGTATTTTAAATGGGAAACCATTACAAATATAGCATTGATATGTTCATATGCTTTCAGATATTTCCTTAGCTGCATTCTTCAAAATTATGCACACAAACCTCATTGTAATTCCAGTCCTTTCAGAAGAGCAGGCTATTAAATTTAATGCTGGACACAACTTTCATTTTTTTTTCCCAGGGAGGCATAAGAAAACTGCAGATCTTGCCAGGTTTTTATAAGCTTTCCAGTTCACCCAGTTAAGTTTTTAATGTTAACTTACTGTGCAGTTTAAAATACCTTTTTAGATTACCATAATCGTGTCTTGCAGATATTACTAGATATTAAGATATGAGAGTAGGGCAAAGTAGTATGTCAAATAAAGAATTCCCACAGAAATTCCCCTGATTTTGATTAATATTCTTGTAGATTACTAGTGTCCTTGCAAAAAAGCTACAAGTAAACATGGAGACTGATCCAACGCTCATTCAAATGAATAGAACAATGCTCATTGACTTCAAATGGTCTTTGGATCAGGCCACATATGAAAAACAAGTAGTTGATTCACAACTGTCCCTACTGTCGCATTTACTCAAGATGGCTGGGTAACATCTATCCAAGGTTTAGGTTACCCAAGATTTAGGTTTTTACACTGCTCATTGAAATATCTGAGCAGCGAACATTTAGTAGAAGGGGGAACTTAAAACATACCATGGAAAGAAAAGATAGTGATATTTGTTTATCAGGAGTAAAATGTGGGAATAATTGCAAGAGGGATCAATGGCAGGACAGAGAGCCTCCTTCATGTTTGTTTGTTCTAGGCTTCCACAGTAATCCACACTGCCAATCCCTTGATCAAAGGAGGCAGGAAACTTCTTATGTTCAGAGGTACCCAAACTTTCCCCAACAGTTTGGTTCAGCTCAAGGCTACACTGTAAACTTCCTTGAGGTATATTATGTTCATTCATGAAGACAAGAGAAATATGCTACAGAAACTCCTAAGGTCAGATCCTGGGCTCTGATCAGGTCACTTTGCTCCATCAAAGCAGCACATTGACTCTGCTATAGAGACAGACGAAAGGGTAGCTGAGAATTCTCTTTGGCATGGAGGAATCCTGGGCTGGCAGAATGGTCTGTACCCATTCTTGCGGTTGGAAGTTGAAGCAGCCCTGTTTAGCCCTTTGTTGGCCCAGGACTAGAGCTGGCGATCAGAGCTATCTTTGCATCGACTTCCCTCAACTGCACAACTGAAAATTGTGTCAGCTGAGTTTATTTTAAATTAAAGTTGCAAAATACAGCTGAATTGCATAAATGTTACTTTAGAGCATTTCACTTTTGTATCTTATTTTACATTTCAGATGTAACAGTAAGTAGCAAATCAAATTAAAAGAAATATCACATCTGGAAATAGTGAAGTTTCCAAGCCTCTAAATCTTGCTGCTCCAGTCTGAGGACTAATTACTTAACTTTATGTAGGTCTCATTTTATCTTAACTTCCTTAGAAGATAAAAAAAACCCTATAGATTAGAGCATTTTCATTTTAAACTATATTCTCAACAACAAAGAAATTTTTAAAAATTGACCATCATTCCTATCACTGTTTCAGCTCCTCTGGTGTAAGCAATGTTGGCTCTGGGCTGCCAATACCATTTTTAGCATTGTGTGGATTAGAGCTCAGAGGAAGTCCAACTGGTGCTGAAAATGGCCATCGTATTTCATTTTAAGCATAAAGAGTGCAGAAGGGGATATGTAAGGGCTTAGCGATGTGGGGTGAAACTCTGGTCCTATATGGCAAAAGTCTCATTAACTTCAATAGTCCCAGGATTTCACTCTTGGAGTCTGATTCTTCTCTAACTTACGCCAGTGTAAAATTTAGACACAATCTAGTTCAACCATAAATTATGGGGCTAGAAGTCAGAATCATTGAATTAAGTTTTATGGCCTGTCTTATGCAAATCAGGCTAGATGATCATAATGGTTCCTTCTTGCTGTAGTACTTATGAGTACTTATGGAAGCTAATTGAGTTACACATGTGTGTGTTGGGGGGGTGTTAAAAAATCAGGCTCTAAATGCTTTGAATACTCATATTAGGTGACCAATATTCAAAAATTGGCATTTGTAATTGAAATGCTGGAAGATCTTAAGTGCAAAACAACAGTGATTGCTAGCGCTTCCGAAATACACAACAAATATCCTAGAAGGGCACAGAGTTTATTTGACAGACTCATTCCAAGAAGGCCTAAATCCAGTGAAGTATAAACTATACATAATTTAAAAGTGCAGTTTCAAATAGAGGAATACGCTGGTGGGAGGGGAAATCTTCCTATTGGGTAGGGTAACAGTGTGGAGACCAAATCAGCTTCAAGATTTCAATACGAGGGTGGTAAAATTTTGAAAGCTATTTTAATGAAAGTGATGCAAATCCTTTTATAACTGCTGTTGTGAGACTTTCAATATTATGAATGGTACAAGTTTTTGTAAAATTTGCCCATCTCAAGGGAAATCAGCTGAATCCAAGCCAGAACTCAGGAAATAAGTCCCTTTCAGCTCTGGGTGTTAGGATGCAGACCTCTGACCCTTTAAAATCTGAAAGCCTGAAACAAAATATTTTTTGCATTGTAAGCACACTATATAATGTCGTGTCATAAAGTGACCTTCACCTGGGTCATGTGAAGTCATTTTAAGACTAATATATTTGTAGAATGGAAGAGTTTAATTGTGCGAGAAGTAAACCAGACAAAGAAATGGACACGAGAGTAAACAAACAAAATGTTACTTGTTTCATACACAGCTTTTGAAGGGTTTCTTCTTGAAGATGTCCAGCATTCAGTTGAGAATTTGCAATATGTTGCTGAGAATTGTCTCTCTCAAGTCCAGCTCAAGAAGCAATGGAAGGGATTTTATTGATTAATCCAATTGAAAATGATTAAGGCTAAACTTAAGAGACCAATAACTATGCCAAAAATAAACAATGCACAAGCCTGTGAAGACAGAAGAACAAACAGTGAATGTTGAACAGCCGAATTCAATTTATACTTCTGAGAATTGCTATTAAGACCCTGAATATGAAAAAGAAATTCTACCTCCAATGCACTGACAGGCTTTAACAGCATATTTTTTAAATGATCTGCAACGTTTAAAATAACCAAAGTATTTAAACACAGCTGCTCTTTCCAACACAAATTAAATATATTCAGAAAGCTATTCATCTATATGAACACTAAGCTAAGCCTGCTTTGGGAATGATTTCACAAAGAATTCCCTTTCAAAACCAGTTTAGTGTGTCCACACTATCCACCTGGGAACTGTGTAGATGAACTTTGCATATTTAACTAAATTCCTGGAAAGGAATTAATTCCATTTGACCCAATGCACACAGGGGCTCAAAGTAAGTTAAGAAACAGAATTTAAACTCTACTTTAAAGACAGTTCTAGTTAAATACATTCCAAACTCTGCTAGAGCAGCCAGGGTTGACAGAGACAGACCCTCTGGAAACCATGTTTAGAAACAGCATTCTATTTTCAATAGCATTGAAATTGTTATAATAGTAAGCAGATTACTGATTTATAGCCAGCTCTGCTGATGTTATCATGCTCTATCTACACAAGCTACTCAAGACTTTAAACTGTATGTAGGTGTCAATACTAGCCTTTCCACTAAGATTTCCCATAATTGGTAGTCCTAGTGCAACCCTATAGAGGAGAGGGCGAGGGGAGATAAAAATGGTGGGAACATCAGCATAGATGGCCTGCTGGCATTTTAACCACTGTGTCCTCTAACTTTTCTCAGTTGATATGGTAGTTAAAATGACAATGACCATGGCCACAGGCAGCAGCATGTTGGTTGCATTAGAACTCCCTCAATGGCTACCACTGGTAGTGCTGTAGCTGTTGTATCAACCGTGGGAAATGTTAGGGGAAAAGGGGGCTTGTGCCAAGGAAGGTTTATTAGGGAACAGCATATAAACAGTGTTCCACACAAACATGGTTTGGCTCGACAACATGGACAAGGCCAAACTATATCAGAACCGTGTTTAAAAACAGATGGATCTGGTTTAAAGCCCCAGATCTGGATTTTGGGGAAATGTGGATTCAGATCAATATTACACAGCTTAGGTTCATGAAAGAGGTAGACTACACTAGTTTCAATAAGACCAGAGAACTGAAACAGAACGTAGCAGAAGACAAACTCCACACTACTATTGCAGACTTCAGGCTGCTAAAAATGGGTGCAGTGCAAAAGGCAAAGCATATTCTGTAGTATAATAAAATTTATCTAACATTAGAATCCTTGCATACAAAAACAACACATGGAAAAATAACATACCCCAAGCTTCTGTCGTGATATAAAGTCCTCCCTGCTAAGTTTAAGATAAAACAGTCCAGGATACACAAAGAGCAAACACGTAGATGTGGTAGAGCCTTTACAAGATAATAAGAAAAAAATTATGTGGTAAGATTGGTACAGGGATATAAGCAGATATATTGTGTGATCTTTTTAGAATAAAACCCCATAACCCCCAAAACAAAACAACAAAAACCCAAACAAACAAAAAAAACTTACCAACTAATCCAAATACATTTCTAATATCAGGCACATACAATGCAAGCAAAACAATGATTGCATTGAGTGCTAAAGTGACAAGGATATGGCAAATCCACGAAGTAGGAAGATGAGATAAAAATATCATCATTACAGCCTTCCTTGCCTATATAATGAAAGGGGGAAAAAAAATTCAAGCAGGCACAAAACTTTATTCTAAAAGCCTTATTGTTATTTCCATTTTGATAAAGTATACCTTAGGTTTTACTTGGAAAAGACCGTTTTAGAGGAAAACATTTATTGATGTAGTTCAACAAAAGCCAAAAAAAAAAAAAAAGGCGTTCACATATAAATGTCATAGAAAATATGACACATATACTTTACCACCTTTAAAGAACAAAACATTTAAATTACTGCAAAATTGTGTGCACACACAAATCATTAATATATGTAACTAGCTCCTTATGAAGAGCATATGGATTGTAGTAGTTGGATATACTTTGATGTTAATATTTGCTAATGGTTACGTTTATCCAGAGAGGCATATCATTATCCTGAAAACTAAATGAAGTTCTGAACATAAATCCCCTACCAACTGACAGAATTGTCCCCTAAATTTTAGAACCACGTGATAAATACTGCTTTAAAACTTAAGTAAATGTTACACTATGTGAAGACAAAGCTACATTAAACTTTTGTTAAATCACTAGCAGCAGAGTATTATTTGCTGACTTCAATTTTCCTCTCCATACAGCCTTTTGAAAACAGAATTTAAGAAAAATGAAACAAAATAAACTTTAGAAATACTTTAGTCTCTAAATTAAAAACAATGCTGTCGGTTAGTTTAAATCTAAGCTCAGTCTCAAAAAGCATAAATTAGCTTAGTGGTTAGTTGTTATTTTGGAGTTTTCATGGAACATATGCAAGTATGAGGTCTTTGATCAATCACTTGACAAATGAGTAAGATACACAAAGCTAGATGTCACTCTAATATTGCAGTCTGCAAAGAATTAGCATTACCATACTATGAAACTGCTATGCCAGCATCAAAACTTTTAGGAGTACTTACAGGGAAATGGATTAGAGGCACTGTCAAAATCACAGCAAATAACATGCCTAGTTTTACAGTCATGATGACAATATCATGCGGCAGGTACCTGGTGTAACCTTGAAGTAATTCTGAGTCCACTTTGTCTGAAAAACCAAGAAATTGAATGTCATAAACCAAAGGGAATTCAGAAATAGAACAACTATATCTCACCTATATTAATTCTCAAAGTTTCCATTTGGAGCAACTACTAGGCTGTTTTGTGCCCATAGCAGAATGGAGGCCGTGTACAAATTTCTTCCTGCCCCTAATGAAGCCAACAATAAACATATGTATATTTGATACTCAATCTAGAGAAACTTCCATTGTCTGAGTCATGAAACCAAGCTATGTACAAGTGAGAAAACAAACATGGAGAAGAAAGGGCTACAAGAGAGGGATACTCAGGCTTTGCAGATGTAGACTATAAGCTGGCCAATCCACAGGCAAGGCAACACTGTGCTAGTGTCTGGGATATGGGTGGTTGGACTCAAGCCTGCATACTGTAGTATAGACAATGGAGCCCAAGGCAGGATTACAAAGAGTATAGATGCTCCAGTGCTTCATTAACAAATCCAAGGTCTGCTAACTCGAGTTTTACTAACCCTGCACTTACACTGCAGGCATACCCTGAGTGGCTTAAAGAAAAGAGATGATGATGATGAGACAGATGATAAATTATCCTGTAAAGACAGCACAACTCAAGGCCCCTTCTGTAGATAACTGAACTTGATGAGTTGTAACCAAGGCATTTGTGGTAGCCTTCAAAGAAGATATCCAAAATAGCGATGAGTGGGGCTTGAAGAGGGTCCACTTTGTTAAACTAAGACCAAAGGAAAAATATTCAGACCAAATAAGACCTTATCAGAATCTTTTCTGGTTTATGCCAGAATAGTAATAATCCATGGGGAATACAAGAGGATTTACCCTCTCAGGCTCCAAGCAGTAAGGTGAAGCCTGGTACAACTCATTTGAAAAATTTGGTCCTGCTATGGCATGTCCTAGAGAATAGGCTTGCTAACTGACACCTCCAGTTTGAAGAATGAGGGTCTCAGTAGTTAGAAATAATCAGAACAATTTTTGCTAGGTTTTTAGTCTTCTTGATTGTTTGTCTGAACAGAAGAAAAAAAGGGTGGAATTCAATAAGCCAAGGCACTGTGCCATATAGCTGATTCTTTATTTCTGGAACAGAAAACTAGGAGACACTTTTTCGTTAAACTGGGTGGTGAATTTGCTCAGAAGTAAACTCTTTCTGCTGGACCAATTGACCTTACATGTTCAGCTTTCCATACACATATGGTATAAAGTGATTTGGAAGGTAAAATTTCACCATTTGGGAAAGTAGCTGCAGCGCCTCTAATTTCAAAGAGAAATTCTTGGTTATTCCTCCTAATGTATATATGCTACTGTTGTCTAATAGTTGCCTTCTTTCGGTATTTTTGCAGACTAGTTATTATGGGGAAAGGATGATTAGCTAAAGTCATTAATGACTTTAACATGTTAACTTCTATTAATGACACATGAGATTGAGATTTGTTTGTTTGACATGTAAGTGATTGGATATTGTGGAAAAAGGCTGGTACTCGAGAGCAGGCAAGTTAAACCCTGGGAAGTACAGGAATTTAATAGAAAACAGGGTAGAAGCAACATAAGAGACCAGATGAGAGAACTTTCAGTAAGAACTTTAATTCCCTCAACAGTAATGAGGGTTCTTCCCTTATCTCCACCACAATTTTAAAACTATTTGGAGAGTGAGATTAGTTTTACAAAAGTCACATCTGGGGTGGCAACTATTATGTTCAAATCTCTTATAGCACAAGCACAACTCCTATTTTTGGTACTAAAAGTGGGAAATGATGATTACTTAGAAAACAAACCAATAACTGCAACTTTCACTTTTGTTTCCACGACTTTTGCCCTTTCATCCTGACCATTCATGACTTTTTTTGGAAGATGCCATGATTTTAACAAAAATCACTCCCCTACAGATGATCCACTACTCTAACTCATAGCAGATTTATGCTACCATGGGCTTCTGCTCCTATCAAAGCCTCTTGGTCACCTTGACTTACAGATCCACAGCAAAAAGAGTCAACATCCTTCCAAACGGGATGTAGAAGAAACATCTGTTCTCAAAGGAGTTCTTTTTTGCTTTCCAGTTGGTTTTTACTTTTCTAGGAATGGCGTTTATGACAAGGGGATGGATAGGTGGGGCAGGGGTGGGGGAGATTCACTCATGAAATTTAATTTGCCTTTTTGGCTAAAGATAGGGAAGGAGTAGCCTGCACACAGGAATGTATGTATCCTCTGCAAAAAAACCCTATTTAATTAATGTACATTATACCATCAGGCCTGAAAGGAAAGGAAAAGAGACAATCATTTCAATCAAAGTAAAGGTTAAGGGCTGGAGTCAAGGCAAAGCAAGGCTCCAATTAGGTCTACTGCATAAGGGACCAGGAACATGGTCTCCAGGACATGACTTCAGTGCTCTTTCTTCCTTTCCCTTTTTGCTGGGGGCTTATCTGGAAACAAAATGAACAGGAACCCCACCCTGGAATCAGCTTCAGTGGTCTTCTGCAGTGGCACTCAGCACCCACATTCTCCCGTAGGCTGTTTGTTTCAACTTTCTTCCATGTGGAAAGAGCCAGCATGTGGCGGAACTAGCCCATGTTGCATTGACCAATCTGACATGGTGCTAGGCAGCAAGGTGAATCAGGCTGCGCTTTTATCATTTGAGGGGAAGCCCAGGAAACTTATTTGCTCGGTCACGGTCAGATCCAGACAAAGGGGAATCAAGGGGGGGGGGGGGGGCTAATTTGCAGGAAGGCAGTAAAAAAGTCAGCTTAGAAAGCTGGCAGGAGCAGTCCTACACGAATAGCAAAGGCACTGAGGTAGGGACTGCTAGTCTCCACCATTTAATTGATAATAGGAATTTGTTGTGCCTACAAGAGAAATACGTTAATGCTCTGAAGAGGCAGCGTGCTTTTTTGCAAGAACTCAAAGCAATTTCCTCTGCAGATCAGTAATTATTTGGTAGGTGTCAACAGGACTGGTGTTGCGCCAGACTGTCCCGAGCCCACAGACATTCTAAACAGATAACACAAAATACCCAGAGAGACAAGGGTTCTCTTAAGAGCATTTCCCCCCCCTACTGTTGGGCTGAGAGTTTTATTTATTTTGACTGACGCATGTTAACTTCATGAGAGGAGTGAATTTTGAGAAGCAATTTGAAAGAAGAATCCTCACGCAGGTCAGTAATGCATTTCAGTGACCATGTTTGTTGATGCATCTGAAGAAGTGGATTTTTTACCCACGAAAGCTTATGCCCAAATAAATCTGTTAGTCTTTAATATGCCACCAGACCTCCTTGTTGTTTTCATGTTTGTATAATGCTACCATACTGCAGAGGGCAGTTGATCCAGATTGCTGGATGGAAACTTGAGAGAAAACAACTTTGGCATGCACGATCTAGGAACAAAATGTACAATCGTGAAAATAAAGCTGGACACATGTAGAGCTGAACAACTTGCTCTTGGAAAGATATAGCACCATGACATTATATGACAGGGTACTGCAAACACTATCACACAGTTGACATACCACACTGATACAGGTAGCTTCTATCTATATGTTACAGGAAGACTGAACTGCTATATTAAATGGACACTCACCTACTTCTGACAATGTTATGATAGACCTTTAAAAAAAGAAAGCCATTGTGTAGTTAAGAGTTCTGAAATCTGTCTAAGTATTTGGGAGAAGCAAGCCTACCAGAATGGCTATTAAGTCACCTATATTTAAGCCCCAGCTACAAAAAATGGCACTTCAAAGTGTTCAAGAACTCCATCATCAATTGCATAGTTATTACACTGCTGCTGCAGCATACTGCCATGCAAAATCTACAGAAAAGCAGAATTGAAGGAGTCTACTGAACAGATAGGATGATTTTTATATGGACAAGTTTATAATTGTAATTCCTCATTTTCTGTTTAAATACAAAAATTCACTAACAAAACATAACTACCACCCTCCCCATCCTCACCCTTAACAAAATGGCAAGGGTCCTTTAAAGAGAGAGACACCTTCAACAGAATGCACACCTTGGTCTCTATGACCACAGTAATTCATACTCTATGTATCATTTTGTGTTTGTGCTTCCTCTGGTTTGCCTTTCTGTTGCAGATAGCAGCAGTATCTTTAAGAAGTCACTTTGTGTGTAGGAATCTATGATACAAATAATTAGTGAGGCTGTTTTAGTAAAGCTTTTTTGGAGTGTTCGTTTAAACTTTTGGTTTTGTTTCATTAATCAAACAGATTTCTATTCAAATAAATCCATACAAGAAACCTACATCTTATCATGGCCTATGTGATGTGTCCATGCTGCTCTTGGCAATGCTTTGGAGAGAGGCAAAGGTGACTGTAATCCACCTTTATACCTCCGTGCTCCCAGGGTCATCCTGCTACTGACCCAGCCCTTGGTGAAAGGCACAGCAGGCCCTGTTGTGCTACAGGTTGACCGAATGGTAATTAGCATGTCAAGCTTCTCTAACATAGGCATGATCTTAGAAGATATTTCACTAATCCCAATTAATTAAGTGAACGGTTTACTTGTATAGTGTTTACGGCCCCTATCCGGCAAAGAATTACATACATGCTTAACTTACACGCTGAGCAACCATACTGAAGTTAATTTTTACAAAGCTAGGCACCTCTGTAAGCCTTTGCAGGACTGGTGCTTAAGTGGCTTAATTATTTCATATGTGCAACACAGGCCTTATTTTAAATACCCCAAATATTTTATTCCTTCATATGCATTCTATAGTAGGCTTTATATATTTGCAAACAGAATGAATTATTTAGCACACAAATCAAATGAAAAAATCCTTGGGAGCAGGCTGAATCAGTACATGTATTATGCAGTACATGATAAGCCAGAACATTCTTCACTATTATCTTGACCTCTAAAGAATTGTTAAGAACATACTTACCATAAAAAGTAAGGTACCCAAACAAGGCAGACACAAAATAGAGTAGGAAACTCAGACCAATTCCTGTATTGGTTACATTCTGCATTCTGCTTTTTGATGGACTAAAATGCAAAACAACACCCCCCCATCCCCGAATAATTATTATGGTTTAATGTATGGTTTGAGGTGTTGAACACATAGCAGTTTATCTTTAGAATGATCTTGCAATTTACATTTTACAGGGATGAACCCCTGTGGTTTATCATTACCCAATACTTTGCTGGTCACTGTATTTGCAGATTTCAAATCACTTCACACATGAAGACAAGTATCATTATCCCCATTTTACAGACATAGAAACTGAGGCACACAGAGGTGAACTCCCCACCCCCACACTCCCAGTTCTGACTTGCCCAAGATGACACATCAAGTCAATGGCAGAGCCAGGAATAGAACCTAGTCCAGTATCCTATCAATTGAGCCCACACCAATGGTGGTGGTGACTATCATAACAGTGCAGATTTGGCCAAATGCAGGCTCTCTGGCTGCTATAAAAATCAGCAAGTAAATGTCTGTGGATTTTGTTTTTTTCCCAGTAGACAATGAAAACGTATTTGCTAGTTTCTCTGCTACAAATATAATCAGAGGCTATGTCTACACTATAAGCGAGGCATGTGATTCCCCTGCTTGTGTACACCTATTTGCAAGTAGCTTGATGAGAGCTAGTGTGAGTATAAACAGCAGTTTAGCCGTGGAAGCATGGACAGCAGAGGCAGGGGTGAGCTGTGCTGAGTACAAACCTGCCTGAAAACAGTGGGGACATATCTGGCATGGCATAGGTCAGTTGTGCCTCTGCTGTCGGTTCCCATGCCATCACGGCTACATTACAATTCATACTCGCTAGCTCTTATTAAGCAAACACAATTATGTGCATATAAGCAGAGGAATCACACCCCTAGTTTGTAGCGTAGACATAGCCTAAAATGCTAGTGCTGCCTCAGATGAAAATTTTGCCTATCTAATATATAAAGGATAAATTGTCATTGTTCAACCGCACTCAGTTGAATACGGAACAGATTTTCTGACAACTTTGGTTGAATTAAAAAAACACTATCATCATATTTCAACATTACTTGCTTTCCATATGTTACCTTCGGAGCTCACAGTAAATGGGCAATACTGAGGTATGGCAGAGAAACGAGAAGGCCATGGTTGGAATGGCATAAGCACTCTAAAAGGAGGGGTGGAGGGAGAGAAACAAAGAAAAAAATTCTCACTATAAACAGCTGTAAATTAATTTGAGTGAACCTAAGATTCTACTTCATGGCCTCAATCCAATGCCTGAAATCAATGGGAGAGGTTTTGGACTAATGCTTCTGGATAAGCTCTATACTAGATAATGGGGGTTTCCCAATTGTTTCATGCAACTGTGCCATTTCAGCTGAGAACTCCGGTATATCAGCCAACACCCTCCTGACAGTGGAGGGTACGGGCTACAAGACTCTTTTTGGATATATAAAGCCCAAAAGTGCCACATCTTACTCACCTTACTCATGTGGGTTCTTCCACTTTAGCTCCTGAGCCTACTCCCATAAGTAGGATAAGTAGGATTTGGCACATAGGGTCGGAAAAATACTACAATTGGTTATTTATATAGTATGAAACTTACCAAATTATAAGTACAGCTGTCTATAACATGCAACATTACTGTGTCAAATTATTGACTCCTTTAACCAGCCCTGAACTTTTAGTTAAAAAATTCAGTATTTGTCTCTCTTAAAAATTGGTTACAGCATTCAGAAACCTGAAAGACCTAAAAAAATGCTTTTGCAAATGAAGTCTGAAGGCTGTTCTATAATCAAAAAGTTTTATCAGTAAAACTGTCAGGGGTGTGATTTTTCTTCTGCACAACTAACAGCTAGAAAATTTTTTTAAATGAAGGCTGAGACTCTGGAGAACAACTTAGAGGCATATGTGGGTACCCCCAACCTACAGCTATTCCTTTAAAAAACATTGGTTTATGCCCTATGCCAGCAGGGTTCATATCCATTAAAAAAACAAAACCTCTGCACACCCCACCTGTTATTAAGATACACAGCACATTACCTCCTTAGAAAAATGAAAGAGCTTTGCTTTACAATCCTCAGTAGAATATGAAATCTGTGCAAGGTACATACACAAAAAAAGGGAAATGACATATTAAATGACTGACTACAAACCACAGACATTAGATCACATTGTTTCAAGCTAATAAAATCATGCTAATTAATGAGTACCAATATTCTATGAATGAAAAGGAACTAAGGATTTATCAACTATTTTTTAAATTATAAAATATTACTAACCTGAGGGTTTTGATGTAGAGAAAGAATTATTTATATTACTAAAAAGATATAAAAGCTTCAAAATAGCATATATGTTACCTGTAAGATCTCTATAGAGCTGTTTAATGTCAGTGGACAAGGGATAGACCATTTTTTTATTACAACCTGTAAAGACAGCGTGTATTTAATTTTTTCAAGACTGCCTGAAAGCTGGGGTATTATATAAATAATTAGAACATGAGTATATTGATAAACACAGTAATACAAGGCACTTACAAACAACCTGCTTGTCTATTGGAGAGCTGGGCAAGGAAGATCAAAAAGATTTGAGAGAAAATGCTGTCAAAATCATTCCACCCAGCCAGTTAATTAGATATTAAAGGAGGTCTAACATTGCAAGGGCAGAAACGTGGTTGTAATTAAATGGCAAAAGCAGGAAAAGAAAACTCCCCAAACCAAAACCCTAATATTTCCCAGAAATCTATAGGGAGTTTTACTCACACTGATGGTTTCGACAGGTCCATGGGGTGGGGACGAAAATTAGAAGGAAATTAAGGAAAAAAAATATGACACTTTCCCTCTCATGAGTCGATTTATAATTATAGTTACATTCTTCCTGTCACTGTATTTATGGCTCTGTCCACATTTCCCATTCTAGTTACCTATTTTTAGGTGTTAGAAATTCTTTATATCACTTGCTCCAGGCTTTAAACTTGAAATAATAAGGGGTCAGATTCATGACAGGGATAAAATGGAAGAGATCTGTCCTTTTATCTCTGAAACTCTACCTGTACAAACATGCTAGAGAGACAAGATTGATGAAGTAATATCTTTTATTGGACAAACTTCTATTGCTGAGAAAGAGAGAGAGAAGCTTTCGACCCTACACGAACTGTTCTTGAGGTACATGTACAAACGTGGCATTCTCAAGAAAGCAATGACTAGAAGCTCCCCACTCTCATGCAGTATCCCCAGCAAAAGTGTGGCCAGAGGGAATAGTGGGTACATGGCATGCTATTCATGCAACCTTGCAACACAGACAGAAAAAAACCCTTCTGCAGCAATAACATAGGTCTTAAATTATGCAGCTTAGAAGCTTTTAAAATATTTTTCATCAGCTAAACTCAAAGCACTTTGCAAATGCAGGTAAGTTTAATTATTTCCATTGCAAATGAGGGCACTGAAGTAGAGAGAGGAGATGAGACTTGCTTGAGGTAACACAGCAGGAAAGAGATCTAGGAATAGAACCCAGTTCAATACCCTATATACTAGACCAGTGGTGCCTAAACTTTTCCTGTTGTGTCCCTGCCTTACCAGTAATGGAATCTGTCCGTGCCCCTCCATTACAGCACAGTTGGCTCAGCAGAGGAGCTGGGGCTGAAGGCAGGCACGGAGGCAGAGCTGGGTGCCGCTCCCTCTTTGCCCCCCTCTACCATGGGGGCTAGCCTGCTGGGCCCCACTCCACGCCACCCTGAACTTTCCTCCATGGCCCCCTAGGGTGGAGTGCTGCACAGTTTGGGAACCACTGCACTAGACCATGTTGCTTAAATAAGACATGAGCGATATATGGTGCCTATCCCTGCAGCAGGGCATATTAAATTTGTGCTCACACGCAAAAGCTGAAGGAGACAGTATGTGCATGAAGCTGACTGTACAGAATTATTGTATAAGTAAAATAAGGGCATTACTTCCAATGACTGGTGCAGATTTCTTCTGCAACAAATTGAAGTACATCTGTCATGACAGAAATTAATACTGTGCAAACTACAACATGTATTTCAATAGTACATATCACCTGCTTCAAAGCAGTTAACTATGAAAACTAAATTGTATTTCATACAGCTTCCAGATTTTCAGAGTAGCAGTTTTTAAAAAAACAACAAAAAACCATCACCTTACATTTTTGCCTAACAGTATTATTTTTCTTTAAAAATACATAATGGCATATGGCCTCACTTACTGTTCTTTGTAGTTCCTAAGTTGTCATTTACGAACTAAGGCAGAAATGTGCAATTTTTACAGCTTCATAAGAAATATAGTACCCTCCGCATCCCTGAAATACATAGGGTTTCCTAGCCACACACACAAGTTCTGGGCCTGGAACCAAAATGCTTTCTACCTCTGCAGTATCCACATGTGAATCTTGCTTATAGTTTATGTTAATCTCTTATGGTTCTATGCATACATTTCTTTAAACCAAATTTTTTTTCAGATCTGTTCATTCATCGTAATGTCTTATTTCTGAAAACTGCACACATTTCCTTTTAAATGTAAAAGGACCACAGAATGCATTTTAAAACTCACTGCACCTACCTCAGCCCCAGATCTAAACAATAATTCTTGAGGGTGGTAACTTTTTTAAAACATATTTTAGAGGGGAGGTCAAACACTGAGCTAATAATGTAAACTCATTTTCAGCCTTGTTAATTACGGAGAGGCTATTGTTGCTCCATAATACCAAGCTGAAGAAGATTACCTCCCAACCTCCCCATAAGAGCAATTCACTTCTTGACAGATCCCCTAAGGAGATGTTTTGGTCAGCTTTGAAGTTTGGTTTTATCACACGGTTCAGTTCCTAATGGGCTGCCTTGCTCTCCTGGATGGCACGTTCTTTCGACTCATTTTCCACAATGTTTATCCTTTTATACCATAAGTCTGCTGTGCAAGTCAATGCAAGCCAGAGTAAAGCAGGGGGCATTTTGCCATGCTTCTAAATAGGACTCTTGTTTACATACCTTCTTGATCCTACTAAATATTACATTTATGTATTAGCAACTGTATATTCTCTTCAGTAAAAAGCAATGCAATTCTAAGGCACAATTCTCTTCCTAGGGCTGCATAACAGATCTCAGCTCCAATATTTGGTTCTGTTTCCTTTACAGAGCCCACAATTGGGGAATATCAGGGTCAAAAATCCCCCAAATGGCTCAGAGGAAAGAAGTTTTCCTTTCAGTTGCAAAGAAGGTGTTTGATGTATTAATGGAACTTGCCTAAGTTCTAGTTCTCTTGGATTCTTTTTGAGCAGTTTCACTTTGAACTGTCTCGCTTCATTCTACATGTAAATTTAATTTACTTGTAATATGACATTTTCTTCCTGTGCTAGTTACAGTAATAGTTAGAAGCTAAGAAAACAGAATTCCATTCCACAAGTAGGAAAATGAAGCGTACATGCCAGTTTTCACTGCCATGTCAGCAAAACAAAAATATTGTTACATTTACCAGACCAAAATATAATTATTCTAAATCTTTTCACATGTTTTAAAGTTCATACATATTTTCATCTCTCTTCAGCAAAACACACTTATCCTGTCCAAAAAAGTGTATGCCGGGACACAGAGAAAACTCTTAGTTTTACAGAGAACTTTAAAAAAAGAAGAAAAAAAAAAGGAAAGACTTATAAAAGCATTTAAACAATAAGAAAAATGTTAGCTAGATAAGCTGAGCACTGATTTTTAACTTACCACAAGAGCAAAGTACACCATAAAGAAAAATGATAAACTACTTGTATAGCCAAGAAAGCCTGTAAAATAACAGTAAAAATAAAAGGCAATTTATAAGAAAATTGATCCTAATGTACAGCTAAAGCTTTACATTTTAGGCATGTTTTCTATTACAGTGCTTGGTATCTGGGGCTTAAGACTCAGAATAACAACATTCCAACTGCCTGTCACAGATCATTTATGTAGTTTTGTAGGGCAGAATTAGAACGGGCTTACCACTAATGGCATGCTGTAAGTAAATGCAGCTCTTTAATGTTCTGCTGTAAAGATTTTATTTTAGTATGGCGTACAAAATACTATTGCAACCCAAGTAATAGGTTAACTAGGCAGGCCTGGAAGGCAGAACATGCTACAATAACTTAAATAGTCCCTACCATTACCAACCCCCTGCCAGCTAAAATAAATAAATAACCCATTAAGGTTTTTAAGTCCTCAGTTGTAATTGCTACTAAAATAGAATAATACTATCTTCTTTCCTTAAATTACTTACCAATTTTTGGAAGAAGTGCAAGAGGAAAAACAATGCAGACTGAAGTAATCAGTAACAGCACTCTGCCGTCAAGATACCATGACCTATTGAAAAACTTAATTATAAATTGCACAAAGTTCAAAGGCCCTAAAATATACATATATTACCTTAGTAAACACTTATCTTGGACAAATAATCCTTAGGATAAAAATATGTTTTTTTAATTCAGTATGGCTAGATCATCATGCTCACTATAAGGATTTGTATTTTAAGCTCACATATATGGCTGTATTGAAATTGAGTTCTCCAACGGTCAGAATACAGGAATGACCAACACTGTTGACAGTTTTCTGGTAGGCAAATACTTGCATTGACATTGGTGGAAGAGGCCTGATTTACACAGCTATGATTACTTCTTAATAACCATGCAGTATGCAAAACCCTGAGCTCAGACAAAGTAGTGGATCCCAGCACTGGGATTTCCAGGACCATGGTTAAATCAACATCTGTACAATATACCAGCTGCAATTTGATTGACTAGAACCACACATCCATAGGACCAAAACAAAAGTGGCCACCTCAGCTTCCCACTCTTTTCCCTATCCTGTTTCTCCCACATGACCTTGGCTCATCTCCACCTCCAAGATTCCCAACACGGACAGCTAACTTACAAACAAGCATACTTCATTAAAAAAAATAAATAATTATAATGATTTTTTAAAGACCCTACTTCTCCCTTCTGCCCAAAGAGTCCCTTCTCCAAAGAACCTGAAGTCTTATGCTCCAATACGTCTGTTAGTCTATAAGGTGCTCCAGGACTTTTTGCTGCTTTTATTAAAAACAGTAACAGAGGGTGCTCCCTGCTAACCTGGTAATAACCACCATATCCTTGACTGATAAATACCTTGCACATCAGCCTTCATGTTTATTACCTATGAACACCTTGGCCTTTGGCCTCAGAGTTTTGGTAGTCCAGGATATGGTTAGCACTTCATACACAGGCAGTGCCCGCAAGACATCATTTAAAAAAAAGCAGATGACCTGAGTTTCATAGAAAAAGTACTGTCACTTATATGGACAACTACCGGTCCTGTTTTTAAAAAAAGTTATGTATAGTGGGATAAAAAAGCCCAGAGCCAACAAGCTTATAGCATTGTTGCCAACTGGAGGTCACACTTCCAAGTCAAGTGACCATTTTGCTATGTATTGAAAATTTCTGTAGAAACAGACTTTTTTTTTTTAATGTATTGTTGCCTAGATGTGCTACAGCTTCAGGTACTTTCTAATGAAACTTTGCTATTTGCAGCCCTTAGGAGCAGTGTCAGTTAACACCACACAGCCTAGACAACAGCAGAGCTCCAGCAGTAATAGCAGCAGCCATCTTGGCTAAATATAGGGCCAGTTTTCTCACTGTTTACAATTTGTCCCTCATATTTGCTTTAAAATGTTGTATTTATATAGTAGTTTATTGAGGTCATTCCCTGAAAGTGTGCCCCCAATATATTTACATGTCATTTTAATTCACAGTTTGTCATAATTTGTTTCCCACAGGGTGGCTGACGAGCTTTAAAATTAATAGAGGGGGTTAAGTAAATGGACCATAAATGCTGCGCTAAGTGAGTGGTAAGCTGAAGTACCTTAGCTGCAGTATATGTGCGGCATTTGTTTTAAGCCACATGACTGTCTAAACCAACAGCTAAACAATCAATAGATTATAGTACTTTTAACCACTGATGAGTTAGGAGGACAAAACTTTTTTGGTTAGCATATACTAATCAATACTATTATGTTTGGAAAATGTGTTCTTGAAAAAACAAATAAGAAACCATATAAAATACCACTACAACATATGAAATACAAATCAGAAAAAAGAAAGTATTACAAAAAGATTCTTAAAGTGTTTTAGTTTGAAATATGGAAGTTATTTTTTATTAAAAATTAACAATGAAACATCAGCGATCAAACCACCCCCCAAGTTTTTCCATAAAGTATTATAGTATAAAAACATTTTCTCTCAAAATGAAAGTTTTTAGATTTCCTATAAAACTGGTTTGAGCTGTAACTTTACTCCTCTATGATAAAAATGTTCCAAGTATGAAATATGAAGTATAAGTTTTTAGCTGTACTGCAAATGTTTTGGCAAGCAGATGTTCTCTTTTTTCCATATTTTAACTAAAAACAGACATTTATAAATTGATTTAATTTCATTCCCAAATAGAATAGGACAAGACCATCATATGTTCTAAATTAGGTTCTTACTCTCAGTCCATATCAGTTATGCAACACACAGGCAAGACAACTTAATTGCATCAATCATATCCTCCTGACAGGGTCATTAAATGTTAACAGAGAGCTCACAAATTACAACATTTTGACGCAGTCTGTGTTTTAAACTACGTTCATGTCATCATCAAAAAATATATGGAGTTCTTGTTATTCAGAATGATTGAAACATTTCTATTTACAATTAACAAGTGTGTATACTGTACTTTTTATAAAAATATACAAAATAGGCATTAAGGCACACTGCAAACTATGGTCCTAAGCCTGGAAACACTTACACATGTGCTTAACTTCCTCAACAGAAAAATTTACATGCATACACATACTCTAAATACATTTCACACATACATATTTAGATCCTATACATGCATATAAAACTAATTTTTCACAGATAGTGATGTTTCAAGTGTGTGAATTTGCTAAACTAACTGAAGTACAAGACAAACCATGCACCAAAATGAAAGCATATCAGATGCCATATTGACTTAACAGAAACAAAACTGTCATGTAAACACATCTGGAAACAAATTTCCTACTATAATTAGTTAAATCAACCACCCAATATTGATGTCCCTTGCATATTTAAAGACTACCTTTAGGTTTGATATTCAATTACATATTTTGGGTGCTTGATTATTTCCTACAATTTTACAAATTAACTACCAAAGAGGTATACATTCAGGTTTCAACAAATGGACCAAAGAAAATAAAAATATTAAAGGTTCTGCTCCAACATGACAATTCAGGCTGCTGTGTGAAGTTTTTTTTTTTTTTAACAAAAGTTAAAAGTTATAGATGAAGCAAACAGGCTTTGGACATGCAGAAAAAAAACAAGGAAAAAAATCATAGTTCAGTGTATGCACTTTGATTGTGGCTTAATCAGTAATTTCAAAATACGCTTTTTAGATGGAACAGATTATGGGAATTCGATCTTGCCCACAGAAGTCAGTGGAAAGATTCCCATTGACTTCAAATGGAAATGGATCAGACCAAAGGAACCCTCAGTTGTTTCAGGTAAGATACATATTCTGGTAGCCTTCTCATTTTGAGCATATGAATTATTTACACGACAACCAACAAAGGTTGGTGGAGTCTGTATCAGACAGAAATTTTGGCACATTAAGAAATACAACTCTTTCTTCTAGACTGTAAGGTCTTCAGACAGGGACTGTGTCACTATATATGCTTGTAAAGTGCCTAGCGGAATGGGACCACATTCCTGATTGGGGCCTCTAGAGTCTACTGTTATATGAATGCCAATAATTATGACACGATAATTAAAAGTTACTACGAACCTTATTACAAATTTTTGTTGGAATCAACTCTGCAGGAACACAACCATTATTTAAAAGTAAAAATATCAGACAGCAAAAATAAAGAATTTTTTCCACAATACTTACCCAATCAATTCAATATGCTTAATGTCACAGTGCTCAGAGAGCTTAAAATATCAGGTTGAAGGTGGAAGATGACATTAGTTACAATGTTAAAGACAACAATTACATCTTTTTTTCAAGCTTATGGCAATATTTTCCAAATTAAAAGCAAACACAAAACACTACCATTTATACAGAGCTTTAATAGGTTAAAGACCTCTATTATTTTGAAAAAAATTAAGACTATCACAGACTGCTTTTTCCCTAAGTGACAGTTTTTAATTATAACTAACATAAAAGTATCAAACTGAAAGATGTAAATAAAGCAAAAATAATTTTTTTTTTAAGTAAGCATTACAACATTTATGTACTGTGTCTGTATCACTGGCATACACAGTGTCTCTCTGTTAGAGTTTGTATACTGAGCTTCAGCCCAGAGAAAAATGTTATAACGGAGTGAAAAAATCTCCAAAAATAAGAGTTTGCAAAACAGCCATAACACAACCTAAAACATATTGACATGAATGGTGACAGCACTGTAACAACCAAAATAAGATATTCGAATGCTGAAGCTGGAACGTTTTTCTTAGGAGAGCCAGTTTTCTTGTGATGGATCTGATTCAGATCTAAAGTACATTGCCTGCTATATACAACTATATAGTTGTACTTCCAAAGCATAAGTTCTTTAATGGAAGCCAAGTTGGGGAATTATAAACCATGTTTGAAAACTTGGCATGTTTCTCAAGACAAGTCCAATTACTGAAGCAAGACAACAAATATTTAAATTTGAATGCCTGCTGGGTTTTGTATTGCGGTTTAACAATATGCAAAGTGATAACATGACAGCAGTTTAAACGTTTTGGTTTTTTCTGCCTTCTCCTTTCAAGCTCAGTTCTCACAAGATTCTTGCTCCCTAATATAGAAAAAGATTTTTTTTGGATGGAGTTTTGACTTCAAAGGCTGCAAAATCAAGCTCAGAAATTACAGGCTTAATTTCCTAGTTGGGAATAACTTGACTAAAATCTATGGAGTTAAAGCAATGTGAAATTTATGAGGGAAGAGAATCAGGCTCTATTTTCGTATGTGGATGAAGAACTCAAACATGCCAACAGTATTCTGTGTTCCAGGAACTCCTGTAAATCACTAATTTTTTTAGCATGTGAAATCAAAGGGAAATGTTGGTATCCATACTTTGAAACAGAGCTGAACTGCTTCTACAGGACTTGCTTTCTTCCATTATATAATGTTTGAAACATTTTTCTCTTACCCGCTGTCATTTCCACTTATGAATCCTGCAATTGCACCAGGCAGTTCAGATTTAACAATTAAAAGATAAGATGACATAGCTGTGAATAGAAATGAAACAGATTTAGTACTGGAATACTAGCATCTCTGGTAATTACAATTAGCATGGCTTGACCAAAGTGGTTGGAACGTAACATCCCAGCTAGTTATTGGACTCAGTGGCACCATAGTCAAAATTAATGCTTTTTTTCATATACTTCCATTAGAAATATCTACAAATCCACATGCATTACACCCATTAACTAAAGCAGCAAAGAGATTACTACCACATGAGAATCTTGAAATAAGGAACATTTTCTAGGATACTACAGAAAGGTAGTTTGAAACAATTTGGACAAAAACCCATACAAGTTGGAAAAAAAGGAACTTCTTGCTAAGCTTTCTTCCTTAAACTTGATCTACTAGCGGTAGCCTGGCTGCAGCATGGTCTCTTCCCCCTTCTTTTATAAGTTAAAAAATATCTGTGGGGTACTAAATTATGAGAACAAATCATGAGAATTATTTATATTTAGAAAATATTTTAAATGATGTGCTTTGATTTTTTTTTAAAAATCAGTCAGTACACTAATATCTAATACACATTGCAACAATTTAGGTAACTACAGGATTGATATATTTTTACAATACAAAATTACTAATATTTCTGGTAATGAATTACAACAATGTAGTCAACTAGGACTTCAAAAGTTGTCCCTGTCCTGCATACCATGGCCACTAGGAATGTCATGGGAACAACAGAGACAGAACTCTGTTCCTCCTGCTTAAAAAGCACAGGACACTTTAGAGTCAAAGAAGAATCTCCATTAATTGTCAGCAGCATAGGAACTATGATACACAATTAAGCATTTACGATTCCGTTTAGATGAGGGCAATGATATAGATAAACATACAGTTAATCGTTACTCTCTGTAAAAAGACCATGGGGGTAAACAAGAACTCTTAAAACTTTCTTCACTATTACTCATGAATATATTACCTCATCTACAACCCATTAGCCTCTAGAAGAGGCTAATTCTCATGTTACTGTGTCTTCACTGTCTGTAAAGGTTTACATATAATTCCAAGACCAACAGAAAATTACTCAGTGATTTGTTCAGTTTTACAGTAGCTTTAAGACACACCTAAAACTACCATGAAGGTAACCCCTCCACCCTTCAGAACTGAATGATTTTAGAAATTTCCTGAAAAAGCTTTAAATATTTTTAAAATCTGAAAAACATTTTTTGTATTTAATAAGATTAAAGTTTTAGTCCAGTAAACTCAGTTATTTGGGGTTTTTTTAATCAACTTAAGTTGAAACCAAATACAGCACATTTCTGAAAGCTGATTTTAAGATTAGACACAATAAAAAAATTAAATAGACTGTTACAATCTTTAAAAGTTAGTAATCACAGAAGCTGCAGCACTGAAACAGTTAATGGTAAATTCTGAAGAGAAGGAATGTGGTCTCTGTAAAGAAAGTGAAATGTATTAATACAAAGTGACATGTACCTACAGCAAGGTTAAATTAAAAACAGTTGCTAGGTCACTAAATAAGGAAATATTCACTTCTTTGTCTTAAAAAACTCAGATTTTTCCAATCTAGAACTGTTTTTCCCTGTTGACACACAGCTGTTGATAAGGCCTGGTGAGAAATTGTATGTGGTGTCACCAATTTGATTCTTTTACTATGGAAATTAGATGGTATGTGCTATATAAGAATATGTATAAATTTTAAAAATATCAGTATTACAATAGGAAGAAGACAAAGAACTGAATTTTCTGATGCTAACGTATAGATACATTCATACATTATCCCCCCAAAAGGCAGATTTTAAAAACTACTGAAGTCGAGAAACAGTAACTTTCTTTAAATTACAATTCATCATTAACAGTGCCATCAGTCTCTCTCTTACTTGTACTATACAATTCATTCTATGTACACAGGTCTGAAGTTTCAGACATTTATCTCCTTCAGAAAGATTTTTTTAAAATCATAATTTCTATTGCAACTTAAATTGCAGAAAGCTTCAGATTAATGTCAAGTTTAGATTTCCTGCTAACACACGATGTCACTCTTCCCATACATTTCTATCAGCCTCTGGCTAACCATTTAATTGCTTATCCTTTGTTGTGTGCTTACTGTTTGTTTTTCAAATTGGAGTCCTATTTCATTGAATTTCACTCCCAAGAAGGGAGCTAAATCGTGCAACAAGAAACTTGCACGTGTTAAACATTTGTATGCATCTTTCTTACTTTCTGTACATATACTAATACATATACTAATAAATAATTTAACAAGCTACTTCAGTTTTCTTGTCCAATTTATGTTCTTTTCCTTTTTTCTTTTCTCTAGGATATGAAGAAAATCAATGCTGAATGTACTGAGTATATTTATACCCTGAAGCTTACGTAAGATACGAATCTCTCTTTTGGCAACTCATAAGTAAACAGCACTGCACAGGATACCATGCTCTGTTCATTGTTTAAGAGGATAACTCCAGCTTCTTTTTCATATCAACAAATACAGTTACATATTTCACAGGAAGAATAGCACTTTGGTAGGTTGAGAAAACCCCAAAGTTTTAAATTAATCGATCGATCAAATATTTTTATTTAAATTAAATACAGGTGTTTTTTTTTTTAAATGAACACACTTTAAATTTGAAATTGAAAACCTAAATGTTAAGGCCTACATGTATTAAAATCTATTAAAATCACGTAAATTAAATACCAAAAATAATATTACACAGTACATGTATTCTGCCAAGCTTTAAAGAAAGTCAAACCACTGAACTGCTGGAAATCACTGGCTAGGCATCTGGAACCCGAGTTTACTGAAATGCTAAACCAGCTTTTGACAGCAGTAGCTTCTTCATTTCAATTTATTCAACTAGTTAGGTTCAATGACTAGTTCATTCAAAGTTATGAAATCAACTGGGAACTGAAAAAAGCAGGAAAGCTTGTTTTCCTCTTCCAACCTATGAATAATAATTAGGTGTAAGAGGTTGAGATCTAATAGTTCTAAAATCTTGACAGATAGAGTGACCAGAAACAATTAATTTGATTCACTAACTACAGATGATACTTCATTAAATCAGTTTTAAATGCAAAACATGTTTTGATAAACTTTGATAAGAAAAATGTGTGTGTTCACTACTTTTAAGGGAGTCATATATAATAAAAAATCAAATGCTGGTTTTGTACATTTAATTTTGAGTTCAAACAGTGCTTCACACAAATCACAAATAAAAAATTAATCTAGTAAATAAGAAATGCATCATTTACCATAACAAAACTGTAAAAGTTAAGAATTTGAATAAATATAAATGAAGCTATATAATTGCTTAAATAAATATGTATAGTGTATCCTGATCAGCAAAAATGCACACCAAATTTAGTGTAGAGGCTCTATTTAGTTGCAAATCAACATATTTAACGGTTACCAACTAGTCAGAATCAACCTTTCTTTAGGAAAATAAAAAGTACAAATCCAAAACATAATTAAAACTGATGATTAAAGTCAGCAAAAAGGAAAACTTGATTTAAATTGGGATTAACATTAGTCATTTAAATCACTTTGATTTAATACACCCTGCTTTAATATCTTAAACAATACTGAAAAAAATAAAGAAACTAATCACGGATCCTTTGGAAAAAAACTACAAAAAGGTTAATTAAAGAAATCAGTTTGTTGAAACTAAAGAGGGAAAGCTTTCCACTGAGATGGGATGTAGCAGTTAAAAAAAAAAAAGTCTAACAACAATTATTTTCTAGTAAGAAAAAAATAACTACAGTGTCCACTAGTTTTGTCCAGTGTCTACTAATAGAAGTAGGAGAGAAGGATAGAATCAAAACAGGTATCTTTGGCTACAAAGGAATGGTTTTGTGAGATTTCAAAAATGGCAGATGCAGACATAAAAACTTCAAGTTATACTGTAAAACTTAAATGCTACCTACACTGGAGAGGACTTAGTGTATAAGGTCATCTCTCATAAGGGGAGCAGATGAGCTGTTCTACGGCAATTGCAAAAGAATACGTCATAATCTCTGATCTGCACCAATAGTAAGGAATTAACATTTTGTGTCATTTGGTTGAGTATTAAAACAGACACTTAAGGGGTCTAAAGAATTATCTATCACATACAAACAGTTACATTAAAAGAACATTAAGGTTGCAAAGTCAAGCACTCAAAAAATTAGTAAGTGCCAGAAGTAAGGCTGCCTGTGCAATCTGAGTTCAGCCCTCTTACGTATATATATATATATATATATATATTAGGACAGTCTTGGCCAGTATCATGTAGGAAATGCGTGGCAGAGCCAAGGAGAGAATTCAACTCTCCTTAGTCCCAGTCTAGTGCCTTAAATATAAAAGAATGTCTGTTCTCTTCTTGCATACCCTCTGCTTCATTCGCTGTCCATCTTGTGCACTGAATGATGCCGAGGTCCTATGGAATAAATGGTACGTGACGACGTAACTAGAGACTTTAACATAATGCCGATGCACAAAGAGGCTGAAATACAGTTGCAGAGGCAACCTTAATTTGGGCATTTCCTATTGCTTGATTTAGCAACTTTAATGATCCTTTAATTTAACTTTTTGTACATAGTTACTACTAGGAACTGGCTGATCAAGAAGAATTAACCAGAGTTGAACTTTATACCAACAACAACTCGACTTATGGAAATTTTGTAATTCAACATTCCATCAGGGAGAAAAACAACAATTCTCAACACCTTAAAGTTATCAGCCAATAGATTCACCACTGTCCTAAGAGCAACAAGTGATCACACTTATTGATATACAGAACTTATTAGCACATTGTGAAATGCTGATGTTGGCTGGCTAGTTTGCAGGATAGGATTTATAATGTATAACGTTAAGCTACTTTACACCAAGAGTTCTTCATTATGTAGCTGAGGGCATCACAACAGGTTAATACTAACTAGAAACACATATGTAATAAATGCATTAGTCAGCATTTCTATACTGTGCATTTATACTGTTTGGCACTCACCATATGAGCCCAGATTTGAAAAACCATGGGCGGGGGGGGGA